GAAGACGAGGAGGGAGGATGGAGGGGAGGAGGAGGAGGAGGAGGAGGGAGGGGAGGGAGGAGGGAGGGGGGGAGGGGAGGAGCGGAGGAGGAGGAGGAGAGGTAGGAGGAGGAGGAGGGGAGGAGGAGGAGGGAGAGGAAGGAGGAGGAGGGAGGGAGGAGGAGGAGAGGAGGAGGAGGGAGGAGGAGGAGGAGGATGAGGAAGGAGGAGGAGGAGGAGGAGGGGAGGAGGAGGAGGAGGGGAGGAGGAGGAGGAGGAGGAGGAGGAGGAGGAGGAGGAGGAGGAGGAGGGGGGAGGAGGAGGAGGAGGGGGGAGGGAGGAGGAGGAGGAGGAGGAGGAGGAGGAAGGAGGAGGAGGAGGAGGAGGAGGAGGAGGAGGAGGAAGGAGGAGGAGGAGGGGGAAGGAGGAGGAGGGAGGGAGGAGGAGGAGGAGGAGGAGGATGAGGAGGAGGAGGAGGTGCCACGGCCCCCGGGGCCTTGGCGGGCGGCGGGCCCTTGCCCGCCGGCGCCTTGGCCTTCGGCGGGGCCTGCGGGCGCATGGCGCGCCAGGCTCGCGGGCACCGCCTGCTCCTTCTGGCCCCACCCTGCTCCTGCTGCTCACTTCCTGCATGTCCCTCTCGCCCCCTGTGCCTTGACGCACCCCCACCTCCCCGTGCTGTTCGTGCTCCCCCTCCTGGTCCTCTTCCTGTTCCCTCTGACCCCATCCTGCTCCCGCTGGCCCCGATCCTGCTCCGCCTGGCCCCGATCCTGCTCCTGCTGCTGCTTCTGCTGCTCTTGTTCTGCAGTTCCCTCGACGACGACGACGACGACGATGTTTTCCTCCTAATGCTAGAGTGCGAACACGTTGTGACCCAAAGGCTGGCTCGCACGGGACTCTGCTTCAGCCCGTGGGTAGCCTCGCTTGCTCAGCGCTTTCGAACCATCGTCATCGTCCCCTGCCCCTTGACTAAGAGGCCTCCCAGATGGGGTCGGAGTAGATGGGGTAGGAGGGTCGCGCCGCATCGCCGATACATCGGCGATGCATCGGTCATCGGTGATGCACTGGCGATGCATCGCCGACGTCTGCCTTGCATCGGCGATGTCGACGTGACGCAAATCGGGCCACACATCCAGCCGCATCGCCGATGCATCGGCGATGCGGCGAGACCCTCCGACCCCTCTATTCGGACCCCATCTAGCAGACATAGATTTACGCATTCCCCACCTCCCCATGCTGTTCGTGCTCCTCCTCCTGGTTCTCTTCCTGCGTCAGCCGCTGCTCCTCATTCACCCTCCGTCGAAGTCCAGAAGCTGCAGGGGGCAACCGAATATCGATAAGCGAAGACGCTTGCCTGCACAAAGCGCAAAGTCGGGAATACCAATGCGAGATACATGATCGTGATGCTTCCGCTGTTCCTCGCCCTCCTTCTACTCCTCCTCGTCATTCTCCTCATTCTCGAACTAGTTGTTGTGTTCCAATTCCTATTCCTGCTCATCGCGTCCCCCATCTTCCTGATCCAGCTCGGTTCAGTGCTCAAGCAAACCCATGTGCAATACACCATTATCTCTGTCCTCCTCTCCTCCGCCCCATCTTATATACTCCACCTCCCCCCTCCTCCCCTTCTCCCTCCTCACCTTCATCCTTGTTTTCCTGGCCCTCCTCCTCTTCCTCCTCCGCCTCCTCGCCCTGTCCATCCATCCCCTAATCCTCAACCCCTCTTCGCCCTCGGCCTCCTCCTCCTCCTCCTCCTCCTCATCATCATCATCATCATCATCATCATCATCATCATCATCATCAGCATCATCATCATCATCATCATCATCATCATCACCATCATCATCATCATTATCATTATCATCATCATCATCAGCATCATCATCATCATCATCATCATCATCATCATCATCATCATCATCCCATCCTCTTCCTCGCTCTCCAAGCCCTCTGCCTCCTCACTGTCCTGGTCTTCCCCTCCCCACAATCCCACCAGCCCTCTGGGCGTAGGTGGCCTAGGGAGGCTCCTCTTCCAATCCCCCAATCCCTTTCTTCCCCTTCGGGGGGGGCGTTCGTCCCTCCCCCTTACCCCCTCGCATGGGCCTGGAGGGGTGGGGTCGCGGGTCGTTGGAGCGTCCAGGATGCCAAGATGGCCCAAGATAACCCAAGATGGCTCAATCAAGCTCCCAAGATGCTCAAAGAGACCCCAAGACCGCTCCAAGACGGCTCCGAGCGGCCACGGGGCCTCCTCAGGAGGCCGCCACGAGACCAACATCCTTCAACAACCTGAAAGAAATCAGTGAATTTGTCCTTCTCGCCTTTTCGCTTCCGATGGCCGTCCGAGGCCTCCAGACAGCTCCAAGGGGGCCCATGAAGGCCCCAAGAGAAGCTCAAGAGAGCCCCAAGACGGCCCTAAGAGCGCCCAAAAGCGCTCCAAAAGCGCAGCAAGAGGGGCCCAAGATGCAAGTGTTCGGGCTCTCGAGGGAGGCGACAATTGGGGCTCCCATCGTTTTTGTTGATCGATCTCCCCCAAGATGGATCCAAGAGTGCTCCCAAGGCTCCCAAGAGCGTCTTAAGAGGGCCCCAAGAGGCGCCCAGGAGGCCCCAACAGACGCCCAAGAGGCCTCCAATAGGCTCCAGAAAGACCCCCATGAGGCTCCAAGAGCCTCCCCGAGGCACCCAAAACGCTCCAAGAGGCCCCCAGTTTCCTCTTTTTTTTTTTCTTCTTCTTCTTCTTCTTCTTCTCCTCCTCCTCCAATTCCTCCTCCTTCCTCCCCCTCTTGGTGTACGACGGTTTGCCCAGCTCTCTGTTCCTCTGTGTGCTCCCCCGCTTCCATGACCAAGGCAGCTCGCTGACCAAGGCAGCTCGCCAAGGCATCGTTTCTGCGTGGGCTGGCGAAATATGTTTTTTGATCGCGAGCGCGCCGGAGGAGCCAGACGCCGTCAAGGTCGCAGCAGCGGGCTATGAGCGAATTGCGCACAGGGGGGAGGGAATCAGGCGACAAGAGGACAGCAGAGGAGGAACAAACAGGAGGCGGGCCTCGCTGCCGCTCAGGAGAGGGCGCCGTCGACTGGGGCACTGCCAGGCGGGGTGCGTCGCCAAAATGGCGGGGAATTCTGGTTGAACGACACCGCGAGCAAACACAAGACGCAAACCACCGTCTCGTAGACGCACCGCAAGGAACAGGCGACAGGACCGCCGGTCGCTCCGTCTCAAGGTGGCGGTCGAGTCACACGCGCTGCTAGGCATCGACCAACCCACGTGCAGGCGGAGGCGGGATCGCCAGACACCGACAGGGACTGGTGTCGAGACCACGTGCCGCAACGCGGGGGGTGAGGGCGGGCGCTCGCGCTCCGGGGTAGAACCGATCCATGCGACCGCAGGCGCCGGAGCGCATCATGAGGCGTCCAGCCGCGAACGTGATGGATCAAGCTTGGGGGCCGTTGGGGGGGAACCCGCGCTCTGGCGAGGGGCGGAGAGGTCAGCCGACCTCAGGTACGTGGGGGATAGCAGTAGGCCGGGGCCGCAGGGCGGAGAGGCCGAGGCGGAGGCTGGTGAGGATACTTTTTGGGCCAAGAGGCTCGCGAGGCGTGTCGAAAGCCGTCCAAACACTAGTCGGGCCGCGACTAGGCAGCAGGAAGAAAAAGGCAAGCGAAGCGAGCGACCGGGCAGCCACCCAGGAGAAGACGCAGAACCGATACTCCCAAACCCTGTGGCGTGGAAAACCCGGTGGCGACCAGCAAGTAAGCGCAGCCAAAATGGCGCGGCGGCGCGACCATAACCACGCAGAGGTCGAACGCTCGGTGTGAGCAAGGCAAACGCCGTCGAAGACGAAGTGGACCGACAGGCGCACCCAGACGACAACCGTGAAGTGGGCGACACAAATGCCGAAACATCGTGTCGGCGCCGGAGTGAGAGGGGCAACCTCATCACCGAAAAGACTGCAAACGGCAGTAAAACCTGGAACACTTGTCACTGGTGAGGATACGCGAAGCGTCAACAATGCCTCCATCCGAATGCTGCCATGCTCTCTCTCCATCCCGGGGACGTGCTGAGAGCAAGCCGCCCCCCTCCTCCACGTAATGCTATCCCAACCAGGTTCTCACACCGTGACGCTTCGCATAGGTTGTTCCAATCCGAGCGCCCTCGGCCCTTGCAAAAACGATGCCCCCGCTGCAGCGCTGGCCTCATTCTTAAAAAGATCAGCGCTTTGGCCCCCCGTCGCTCAGAATGGCGCTCTTGCCTCAGCGCAGGCCGCACTTCTGGATGTCCGAGCGCGTCCTGGTCGTTGCCGCGCCCTTCCGTTCCCTTCCCTCGCCTTGCCCTGGTCCTCCTGTTCCTCCCGCTCCTCCCGACCCTGCTGCTGCTGCAAGTCCTCCATGCTCTCCTCCTTCCTCGTCCTTTTTGTGCTTCCTCCTGGTCACCCTCCTGGTCAGCCGCGACCTCCTCCTCCAATGTACACAGATCCCCTGTCCAGGTTGCGAGGAACATGATGGGGTCCTTTTTGGTTGTCCCAGGTCCGCTGTGACACCCGTTGGCGGATAGAGAATTACCCGAGCAGACCACTCTAAGAGCAGAAAAGGTACACAAAACAAAACGAGTCGAGGAGGAGAAGGTCGTCCCGTGAAAACGTGCATTCTTGGGTATCCCTGTGGATTTCTAGGAATTGCAAGGTAATGTATACATTCGAATGTTGTCACAAGAAATGGTGGCCGTCTGGACCAAACGTGTAGCTGGCATTGAGGCGAGAGCACGACCCCTGAGTCAGATGAGAAAATGTCTAAAGCCTAACGGCTGCCGGACAGGGCGTCCTAGGGCTCGTCGTCCCCACTGTGGGACTCTTCTTTTGTCCAGTATTACAACTGTCAGACACCTCTAGCGAAACGCTGTCAAGGAAAAAACTGGAAACAGGAATGGGTGGGAGGGAGAGGCAGGATGTCAGATGTAGCGCGAGCGCACCTAGCATGACCCTCTCAGCCTATCCCCTCTCCACCTCATCGACATCGCCCTCCAGACCCAGCGCTGTTTGCCGCATCAGGACAGGGCACACAGTACACCGATCGGCTCCTCAAGGGCGCACGCAGTGCGCGGCGCTGGCTGGGAGGGAGAGGTGCGGCGACCACAGACATCAGAAACACGGGGAGAGAGAGAGAGAGAAAGAGAGAGAGAGAGAGAGAAAGAAAAACAAAAATAGAAAGAGAAAAAGAGAGAGAAAGGGGAGGAACGAGCTGTCGAATTGTGGACGTTCCAACCCAAACCTCCAGAGGCTCGACACCATCGGGTCCGAGGTGTCTCTGCATCTCCGAACTCTGGAGGCCCGTTTCGAGCCCAAGGGCCGACAGAACAAAAGCCGGGACGGAAGGGCCTAGGACAGGATAACACTCTACAAGACCATGGGACCCTCCGCCGGCCAAACAACACACAGCGTCCAAGGGTAGCCTCCCCAGGATGCACACTAGCATCCAACCAGCACGGATAGCATCAGGGTCATTACCCTCCCCGAACCGACCTCGACCTCATACCTCAGTCCGACTGTATTGATTGGTCGGAGGTATGGGAAGCCTCTTGGTTACCAGCGGTAGAACAACAGAAAGCTGGGTACACATTCGCGGATCTCTTGGGTCAGCGCTGTGCCTCCATCCCCGCGCCCCGTCGTCAGCACGCGGAGCGCGCCGAGGGCGGCGGGGCTGGGGGTCCAGCGCCGACCCAAGAAATCCGCGCAGACCCAGGTAAAGAAAACCATACTTGTGCACGCTTCGTCCTTCTAGCGATGGGGACGCGCCCAGGATCGAGTTGAGCAGCCGAGGCGAGGAGGACTACAAGGCCCCCTAGGTGGAACAATATCTCACCAGCCCGTGCAAAAGGTGGCACCGGTGCCTCCAGGCAGCAAAAGTCAGAGTGGCAGCGAGGTTCGGCCTCCTTATCCTCACTGTGATGTTCTTTCCCCCTTCCCTCCCTTCGGGGGCACGAAGGCCCTTACATGGGGTCGCGCCAGGTTTGCCCCAAACTGGATTATTCCACAGCCCCTTGGTGGTGCGGGTGCTCGCATTTCCCAGCGCCTCTGTGCAGAGAAGACTTGCCGCCTCCTGTTATTTCCGAATCCACTTCTCGAGTGCTTTTTGTTGGGGGGAGGTGGAGCTGGCCAGAGAGCCCTCTCCAATCCTGGTTCCCCTCCTATCCTCCTCGTCGTTCTGTAACAGTTCACGCTGCAAGCTGGAAAAAGACTTCCTGATCCGCTGTTCCCCGCATGAGGGCGGGGGCCTTCTTTTCCTCCTCCTCCTCCTCCTCCTCCCTCCTCCTCCTCCTCCCTCCTCCTCCTCCCCCTCCCCCTCCCCCTCCTTCCTCCTTCCCCTCCTCCTCCCCTCCTCCTCCTCCTCCTCCTCCTCCTCCTCCTCCTCCTCTTCGTCGTCCTCCTCTCCTCCTCCTCCCCCTCCTCCTCCTGCTCCTCTCCTCCTCCTCCTCTCCTCCTCCTCATCATCATCCTCCTCCTCCCCCTCCTCCACCTCCCTCTTCCCTCATCCTTCCCCCTCCTCCTCCTTTCCTCCTCCTCCTCCTCCTCCTCCTCCTCCTCCTCCTCTTCCTCTTCTTCCTCCTCCTCCTCCTCCTCCTCCTCCTCCTCCTGCACGCCCTGGTGCGCGGTCCGTGCGCGCCCGCGCTCGCCCGCCCTGAACGTCTCCAGCACCGCGAGCACCTGCCCAATGAGCCCCAGCGCCAGCGCCAGCTCAGCCGGCGAACGCCGCGGCCAGGGCCGGGCTGTGCGCTCGCCCGGCCGGCGGCCGGGCCGCCTCGGCCCCCAGCGCCGTGCGCAGCTGGCGCGCCGTGGCCGCGTTGAGGGCGACCGACAGCTCCGCGCCCCTGCCAGCAATTGCGCGCAGCCCCGCGCGAGCCGCCGCAAGTGGCGAAGGGCCGCTGGGCCGTGGCGGCCGCCCGCTTCAAACGCGATCGGGCGTGCTTTTCGGTCTCGGTGTTACTGCAGACGGCGTCGCCCCTCGCCGCAGCCCTTCGACGTCGCCAGGCAAACCGAAGCGCGCCGCAACATCGGTGAATATCCATGGGGAAACGGCCCGTGTCTCCATCGAGGATTGCCTCCTCGCGCCACGCTGTCAACGCAGTCCCGCAACTGGCGCAAGCCGCCCCCGCAGCTGGCCGCGCGGGCACCGCGCCGCCTGCCCCGCAGCCCACGCAGTGCCAGCGCCAGCGGTCCCAAACTGGCTCTGGCGTTTGCCGCGCGACGCGGTAGCCGCTCCCGGCGTGGATCCACTCCCACGCGTTCTCCTGGTCGCCGCTGCGCGCCTTCAGCCCGCCTCCGCGCGAGCAGCGCCAGGCGTGGCAGGCCCGCTCCCCAGCGCGGGCACAGTTATGGCAGGTGGCCCCAGCAGGCGCAGTGTCCTGGCCCAATCGGCAGCGCGTCGTGGAGCGGAAGTCAGCGTCACTCAGGTGCCGCCCGTGCTCGCCAGACGAGGCGGTCTGCCAGCCTGCCGCGCGCGGGCCGCCGCGGGAGCAGAGCGGCGCCCGGTCCTCAAGGGTCCAGCAAAAAGTTGAAATTCTGTTGGTCCGCATGTCAACGCGGTAGGCGCCTTCTGGAGCTCCTTCTGTGGCCCAGGTGGGCAGCCTGTCTGGGCCGTCAGCGCCCCAGCGGGGCGGCGGCGGCGGGAGCGCCGCACATCTGGCGAGGCTGCTCCACCAGGCGGCGGCAGGCGGCAACGGGCTCGCGTCCAGGACGCCAAGGGTGGCCAGCCCGGTCCGCCCAGCAAAGCGGCCAAGCTCTGCGCCCAAGAAGCCGCTCACCCCGCCGGGGCCAGCTCCTCCTGGCGGTTGGAGGCTGCGGCCGCCCAGGCGCAGCGGGAGCCGGCAGCGTTGCTGCTGGTATGGCGTCAGCGGGTCCAGGTGCCCGAACTCTTCGCAGGCGGCCAAGAGGGCGGCGTCGCAGGTCGCCGCGGCCAGCCTCGCCCGCTCGGGAAGCGCCCTGCGCAGCGTCAGCCTGCCAGTCCCGCAGTGCCGCAGAGGCAGGGTCGCCGCCTGCGCCGCGGGCAGGCGCGGGGAGGCCAGCAATGGCAGTTCGGCCACCTTCGAGGACAGCCTGGCGGCCCGTCTGCCAGCGTCCTCGGCGCTTTCCGTCGCAGTCGGCCGCGCCCAGGTCCGCCGCCGCCTTTCGCACGGGCGCGGGGGTCCCCGCGGCTGCGGCTGCTTGGAGAGCGGGGGCCCGACCTCCTCCTCCTGCTCCTCCTGTTCCTCCTCCTCCTGTTCCTCCTGTTCCTCCTCCTCCTCTTCCTCCGCCTCCTCCTCCTCCTCCTCCTCGTCCTCCTCGTCCTCCTCCTCCTCCCGCGCGCGCAAGCGGGGGCGCAGGCCGCGGGCGAAGAGGAGGGGCGCGGGCGGGCTGCCCTGGTCAACCCCGTCGATGCAGGCGGTGGCAGGCCCCCTTGCTGTCGCAGGAGAATGCCACGAGCGGCGCGTGCGGAAAAACGCTGCGAATGGGAGGTCCTCCTCCAATCCCCGCATGCAGGCGGCCCGCCGCGCAGTGCAGAAGGTGCTCTTCGCCCCCAAGGGCGGTAACCACCAGGTGCGGCGAGGACTCCAGCAGGGCGCGCATTGCGTGCGCCAGACGTTCTGTCCCGGCGGCCGTGCCGATTGCAAACTGCTGCCAGCCGAAAACGTCTGCCAGGTGGCCGTTGCGAGCGATTGCCTCCGCGCGGCCTACCAGGCGCCGCAGGTAGCCAGAGCGGCGGCGGCGCTCTCGGGGACTCGCCCTTCGACCAGGTAGAAGGCACCCAGCGCCCCGGGGTCAGAGAGCACCACCCGCCAGTGCTCGAACCTGCCGCCGCCGACGGCGGCCTTGCTCCCCATTGCGGTTTGCCCAGGGGACCTTCTTCAGATGCTCGCAGGAAAGTGCGTGTCGTCGAGCTGCCGGGCCGGCGGCGGCGTCAGGGCGAGAGCGTCCCGCGGCTGCAGAAGGCTCTGGAGATGCTGCCCTGTCTTTTTCCTTTTCCTCCTCCTCCTCCTGCTCCTTCCCCTCCTCCACCTCCATCTCCCTGAACTCCCTCCTCCTCCTTCTCCTCCTCCTCCTCTTCCTCCTCCTCCTCTTCCTCCCACCTCCTTCCACATCGTCCATCCTCCCTCCTCTTTGTCCTCGTGCTCCTGTTACCCCCTGCCCCGTCTGCCTCCTGCTCCCCTGGAGGGTGGACAGGGAGGGAGGCCCAACCTCACGAGCCCCCTGTGCCTTTGGGCCCCCTTGGGCTGCCGCCCCCCCCCCTGCGCGGGCCCGGCTAGAGTCATGCAGCGACAAAAGGAGATTCGGGGCGCGGCTGCGCCGACTCGGCGGCCAGCAGGTGCGAGCTTCAGTCGCCCACCTAGAGCCTTCAAGGACTGACAGACAGCAGCCAGGATGAAACTCATGTATTCTGTGCGTGAATCCCGGATGCCGCCCTGTGCGTGAAACCTGGACGCCGCCACACACATACATACACAACACATACCACACAACACACACACACACACACTCACTCACACACACAAGCACACACAAGCGCGCCCAAGAACCTTCAAGGGTTAGGAGGCAACTCCTGGCAGGTGTCCGTGTGGGAACGATGCGAACGATCTGGCCCGATTCAGGGACCACGACGCCGGATTGGACCTGACTCAGTCCAGGATGAACCAAGCCGAGTAAAAGCGGCGTTCGCCCGCATTAAGGCGTTGTCGATGACGGATCTACAAGGGCCGCTGCTGAGTTGAACCTCCTAGGAGTTGCGACCGAGGAAGGGTGGACGCAAGGAGGGTCGGGACATGGGAAGCTTGCGATTCGGCAACGGCAACTCCGTGTCATGAAGGCTGGCACCTTGGCTCCCATCACCGCGTGGATTGCCCAACCTGGAACGGTCGTGGCTTCCCTACCGTGCAGACCGCTCGACCTCGGCCGGTTGCGGGCCACCGGCCGCGCTCAACCTCGCATGCCCACGGCGGGGTTGCCGCGGCGTCAGCGCGGCGCCAACCTGCCGCCGCGTGGCTTGCCCCACCCTGAACGATCGTGGCTTTCCCATATCGTGCAGAGCGTTCGACATCGCCCGGTGGCGGGCCACCGGCCGCGCTCCGCCCCGTGTGCCCACGGTTGGGGCTGCCCCTGCGCCGGCGCGCTGCGAACCCTCGGCGCTGCTGGGAGAGGGGCCTTCTCCTGTTCTTTGGCCGTCGGCAAACCTTCCCGCAAATCAGCCATGCAGGCCTGAATCATACGAGTCTGCGCCGTGTGGGGATACACCTCTTAGGACATCGACGCCAACTTGCCAAACATATCATTGAACTGCCGCTGGCTGCCATGTATCAAGCAACAGGCCCGGCGGCGGGGCCGAAACCAGCGGCACGCCGCAAGCTTCGTGTGTCCTCCCCCCTTCTCCTCCAGCCCCATGGAGCCGGAACACCGAATCGAACCGGAGCGTGCGTCGGATCGGCTCGGAGCGTGCCTCGGATCGGGCCGTGCCGGCACGAGGTCGGAATCGGTCTCGAAGCGGACCGATGGGATCGAACTGGGCCCTGCGACCCCCCCTTCTTGGCGGTGCGCACAATGGGGTGCAGGGAGGGGGGGAGGGCTTCTTAGAAGGAGGCCGCTCCTTAGAAGGCGCCGGCCCTACATCTACAGATGAGGCCCGTGCCTTCTAAGAAGCAGGGCTGCGTCCAAGAGGCCCTCCCCCCTCCCCCCTAACCCCCCTCTGCGCCTGGCTGACCTTCGTCCGCCCCGTGCCCTCCTCGCAGAGGCCGCGGCCACGGAGGTCGCGGCCTCACCGGTCGGGTTCGTGCCGGCGCGCGGCCGCCCGCGGCGCGCGTGCGTCGCGGGACGGGCCTCTCTGCGGCCGACGGAAGTGCTCTCGTGAGCAGGGTCTGCACTCCTGCAGAGAGGCCCCCCCCCCGGTCCCGCGGCGGAGGCTCCACGGATGCCTCGGGGGGCCGCCTCCTCCTCCCCTTCCTCCTCCTCCTCCTCCTCCTCCTCCTCCTCCTCCTCCTCCTCCTCCTCCTCCTCCTTCTCCTCCCAGAGGGATCGCGAGGCTTCCAACTTCGCCGAGGATGCCTCGAAGACTGCCTCAGAGGCCTCCAAGACAGTACAGGAGGCCTCCCAGGCGCCCCCAGGGGCCAAGGCCTCTCAAGAGGGCCCCAAAAGGCAAAAGCCAGTGCTTTTTTCCCCAACCATCCTCTGGTGTTGCGTCCTCGTCCTCAAGTCCGCCCTGCACAGACGCAGTCGGGACACATGGCCGCAGGAGCGGTGGGCCAAGAGCACGAGCCCCCTCGCCCAAGTCCCAGGGCCCCTGCACGGAGAGATCCAGAGTGAGGGGCGCTGCACGGCGGGGGGCCCAAACACGAACAGCATGAGGGTACCCCTCGCTCTGAACCCTCGTGCCAGCGGTACCCCGAGCGGCTGGCCGCAGCGTGCCTCACACCTGCGCTGGGCCGCGGAGGTATGACGACTGTGGGGGCTCACGGGGCCATCGACTCGTCTCCTGAGCCCCGCGCCTCGAGTCAACTCCTCCCTCGCCCCCCGCTGCAATCCTCATCGTCAGCGTTGCCCTCCTTCTCTCAGCCGGCGACGACACCAGGCCGATCCAGGACACCGCCACGGTACATGTGCCGAGGCGCTGCCATCTCTCCATCGACGAATGGGCCTCGCCACCCCGCCAGGTCGAAGCAAAACGGGCCAGATCCTCCCACACGGCAATCCAGAGTGACCGCCCCCCCTTCCGAAAAGGCCGACGAGACCGAGCCACGCTCACACAGCCTCGATACGATACATATATGTGTGTGTGTGTGTGTATGAAAATAAAGTGTTCTGCAAATCAGCCCGAGAGACTCTGGTCTCTTGAGAGACCGAGCGGGCAGGTTGGCGCAGGCGGGCGGGGCTAGGCAAACTCAGATCGGGTCGTATCGCGCCTGGCCTAGCCCTGCGGCTGCTTGGGATTCAGCATCTGGCTGGTTAGCCACTGCACCTGGCGCGGCGGTTCAAGTGGCACTCCAGACCCTCTCCCTGTTTGCTAGCAAGGCCGTTGTGTGACGATGCGCTCCGCTGAGCCTTGCCGACTCCGTTCCTTCTTCCCCCTTCCCTCCTTCGATCCTCCCATGCCTCGCCTCGAAACCAGACAGGAAGCATGACATGGGACTCGGGGACTGGCGCCCCGTCCATGTGTCATGGTCTTGTTCTCCCCCTCTTTATCCCTCTCATCCCCTGCCCCTTGATATTTCCACCTCCCTCCCCCTGACCTCATCACCCTCCCTACTCGCCATCGCTCGAACGCCCATTCCCTGTGTTTTTTTGTCGGTTTCGTACGTCCATTTCCTCGATGGTCCTCGCCGAAGAAAAAATGCACACGTCCGAGCGATGCCAAGCCTATCTCCTGCTCTCACTTTCTACCGCACACCCAGTCTCTCCTCTTCCGGTGCCTGTGCCCCAAATCCGCCACCGTGCCACCAGGGCGAGTACAGCCGAGGCCCGACCACAAGAAAGCTTCCACGAGAAACCCAACCCTGACACCCCAGGACGTCCATGGGTTTTTGGTGCGGGCACGCCACGCTGTCCATGGCAGAGCCATCGAACCCCAAGAAGCCCAGGGCACCCTGGAGGCAAGCAGGGTGTTTCTTGGCATGGGCCCCCACTGTAGCGGAATGTCCTCAAACTCCCTGGGGTGCTCATCGTACTGTCAAGCCGTGTGACCAAAATGAAGCTGCGGCCAGAAGGAACGCCAACTAAATAACAGAGCCCCTTTGGGTTCCACAAAGCGCATGTGTGTCCGAGGAGCGCATGCGGAATAACCATGAAGGGAGCTAAGGAGCAAGGAGCCCCTCATCAACCCAAAGTGGTCATGCTTCCTGCGTCTTGGCTGAATGCGACTGGCCCCACGGGGGCAAAAATCATGAAACACACTACGCATTGTTCTTACACCATGCTCGGATGCTCGCCTCATCTCTCTAAAGCGTATGAGACTGCCCAAAAGGCATCCCGTAATCACGGCACTCGATTCAGACCCCCTTCCCCAGAACCCCCCGGAGGACCCCAGAGGGACCCGAACCCCCAAAAAGGCCCAAGAGTGGAAACGTGAAGGGGCTCCAGGAGCCCGACCCCCCCCCCAGCAATGGCTCCCGAGACCGCCAGCATGCCCACCCAGGACGCCCCCGGGCCCCATGAGGCACACAGGAATCCTCAAGAGGCCCCCAAGAGGCCACCCGAGCCCAGGAGCATCCTCCAGCAATCCCCATATTCCTCCAAGAGGCCACTGGCCCACGGTCCACAACACAGGCACGTTGGTGCCACCGCCGCCATAGCCTGCAGAAGGATTATTGGCGTACCGATATTATTCGTTGCCCTGTGTGGCCTCTCCAAGAAACTTCCAATGGCATTCAGCGTATCACGCCGGCCACCCGGATGGCCACATCAAAGGTGCACTGCCTCGGCTTTCCCGCCCAAGATGGCTTCTGTCCAGGATGGCCCAAGATGGCCTCCAAGAGGGCTCCACGGCGCCTCAAGATGGCCCCCGCTTGCCTCTAAGACGGGCAAGTCGTGGGCCGCCCAAGCGCCCTAAGAGAACTCCAAGAGTCCTTCAGGAGGGCCTTGAAGAGGTCAAATCAGTGATTCCCCCTTGGTGTTTCAATTGTTCTCGCAGTCTTGCCGCCTTTCTGAGCCTCCGAAAACCCAAGACGGCCCCAGAGGCCAGTCTTCAAGAGAACCCCCCAGATAAATCCCCGAATCCCTCCTGGAGGAGCCTTCTCCTTGGCCCCCTCTCCGCCCACCCTGGGTTAGGACGACTGGGATGATCTTGCTATGCCATCAGTGCTGCTGCTGCCGCCGCTGGCATTTTCACAGACATTCTACATGGAAGCACCGGCGCGTGCGCCAAAGGGCCACCATCGGTCCTATGAGCACCCGAGGGGGATCCGAGCGTTACAAACGCACCGGTTCGGCTGCTACCTTCTCCTCGTCTCCCCTTTGGAGAAGCCGCGGGAACGAGGGGCCTAAGGCGCTGCACGCGCCACGTACCCTTCAAAACAGCCGCGGCACAACGGCGGCAAGAGAGCTGCGAGTCCATCCTGCTACCAATGCTGCTGCTCCCTCCTCCCCGTCGCCCCCCCCCCTGTTGAGGGGTCCCACCACCGCGCGGTGACAAACCGTGCGGCGACCTCGACATCCCGAAGGACCTCGCCGCGCGGTCCGCCACCGCGCGGCTTTGGGAACCTGGGGGCCTCAGTCGCCCGAACCATCCCGCAAAACGGCCCGAGTCCCAAAACCATGCGCCCACGCCGAATCCCCACCTACCGCACGGTGTTGTCGCCGCACCGCTTGGGGGCCCCCGACTCCTGGAAAGGCCCTGGCCCGCCGTCCCGGGGGGGGGGGTCGCCTCGCTCTGGGTGTTTTCCATCGTGCCTACCAGGTAGGAGAGGTTGCCCTCGGGCGGGCCGGGGCACAGTACGGGGGGCAGGGGGGGGGAGGGGGAGGGGAGACCGTCGCACGGAGGGGGGAGGAGGAGGAGGAGGACGAGGAGGAAGAGGAGGAGGAGGCGAAGGAGGAGGAGGAGGAGGAGGAGGAGGATGAGGAAGAAAAGCAGGGGAACGAGGAGGAGGAGGAGGACGGACAGGAGGAGGAGGAGGAGGAGGAGGACGGACAGGAGGAGGAGGAGGAGGAGGAGGAGGAGGAGGAGAAGGAGGAGGAGGAAGAAGAGAAAACGAGCGCATGACGGTGTCATGGACCTTCCCTACCTCGACGTCTCGGCGGGCGGAAGGGGCGGCGCGGTGCGCCTACTTACAAAGTCAAGCAGAAACGGGCGTGCGCGGCGGCGCGGGCCCCACGGTGAGGCGAAGCGGCGGCAGCCGCTGCGGCGGGGAACGAACGAGGAGAAGAAGGGGGCACCACACCAGCAGAAGCAACGCCCAGGATCGACGGACAGGGGGAGGGATACGCATGCATGTGTGAGGCAGTGGCCGGGCACGGAGCAGGCACGCATCCACGGAACGGAAGAGACGAGCAGGTGGGGAACGACGCAGGAACAGCAGCAAAGCTCAGGAGCGAAGGACGGGTGGATAAAAAGACAGCGACTGCAGCGAAGCATGATTAGCTTGCGCGCAGGAAAACGACGTGGGAACCCAAGACAGGCAGACCGAGCGGAGGCCGAAGAGGGTAATTAACTGCGCGCGCTGGGATAGCGAGGCGGCGCGGCCGCAAATCCAGGCATCAAAGCAGCGCCGATCGACGAACGAGTGGGAGACCAAACTTCACGAAAAAGAAGTCGAACAAAATTGCTGGCCAGCCCCCCCCCCACATATGACGGGGGCAAAATGGCCGGGGCGACGAGAAATCAGAGGCACTGAAGCGAACGAAATAGGATCATCATCATCAGAGCCGGGGCACTGGAAAAGGGCAACAAGGGAAGCAGCGCACAGGCACCGGCAACTCTCACGAGTCAAGGCCAGTGGGGGATGGACAGAAGCAGCAGATGCCAAGTAGCAGTCATGGGCAACCTCTCAGCAGACCCAGAGCATGTCAAACTACAGGGGCGGGCACTTTGCCTAGCTGGGAGCCGCTCTTCGGGAGTGGGCTGACGTGCGTCTCGGACCCGAAGAGCGCCCAAACGACGCGGCATATTCCCTCTGGGAACACGTGGACGCAGCAATCAGGCGAGGCGACAGAAGTGGAGACGTAGCAAATATGACACCCAACCTGGGAGACATCAGAGGCTTAGATCGCGCTAGGTCAGCCCTCCGCTGGTTCGGAAAAGGAAGCGTTTATTATCGATGTGATCATATAATTTTCCAACGTGCCTGAACGCAGCGAAATATGCAGCTGGAGCGCGCGGCGAAGGTGGAGACGGAGAGCGCAGACAGAAGCGAGGAGAGGGACGGAGACCCACTGTCGCCAGATCATCAGCAGCCCCATCATCTACATCAGAGCACTCAGGTTCTGAAATCAGCGTGGACGCGAGGCGAATCGACGGGGCGGAATCTGATCGCTCCTAATCGCTATTGCTCCTGCGTGGACGAGAGGAAGACGACGGCGCGCACAAATAGGCAAACCGCCGCACGGGAAAGAAATCCAGCACTTGTGGATGCTGCTCTTTCTTGCCCGTTTAGTCAGCAGGTCAAGCCAAGCGAAGCGCGCGTAGAACTGCGAGGGTAGCTGACCGCAGATCGCTAGCAACGACGCAGTCACGGAACCTCATGCTGTTGCACGTTGAGAATGCGACCGCGTCTTCTTCAGCACCTTCCACAGACGGAGCGGCGGGTCGAAGATGCGCGGCGAGAAACCGAGGGGGCGGACGCCCCAGCGAAGCACTGACTGCGCGCAGGAGGGCTGCGCTCTTCATGGGATGAAGCTGTGGGCCCAGTCAGCCTGCGTAGCCGAAGATGCACATCCGCCGCGCAGGGGCGCACCTGGCGCGATAGCTAATCAAACTCGCCAAGACATATGTTTTGGCAACAGGAGCGGCCCAAACTGCAGGGATGGGAACGATGCAGCAGTTAAATTTCAGCCTTGCGTTCCTCGGCAATCGCAACGGCGCGGCACTCCAGCGGCGGCCGCTGATGTCCGGCCGCTGGGGCCCCCGTCGCGACGAATCATCGGGCCAATCGTTTCGGGGCCTGGCCCTGGGCAGGGCAGCGCCCAAGTGCGAGGCAGCTCGCGGGCATTCTCGATGGCAGCGGAGAGGCCCGAGAGAACGACTAGGGCCGCTCGAGCAAGGGCGGCTAGACGCGCGCGAAGTGCGCGAAGGAACCGAGGGCCCCTCCAATCGGCAAGCCGGGCCCGACCAGAGGCAGGGATCACGCCAGGAAAGCGCAAAAGACTTGGGCGATAACCGATCACTATAAGGCAACCGTATGCGAAGGCCGACGATCGAATTGTGCATTATCAGACACGACGGGTAGAACTCGAGACTTCCGCGCGACCCCATCGATCTTGATCAGGGCCAGCTCGGCCCCAGACGACCCGCCACGAAGCATCGCGCGCATGCAAGGCGCCTCTCAGCGCGCATGGGCGGCGACGGCGGGGCCCAGAAGCGCCCCCCAGGTGCGCGAGGTGAAAGACAATCCCGAACAAGGCCTAACCCGGCACAGTTTGAACGGGCAAACCCCGCGTCAAGTCCCGCAGACATCCGCTAGATTCAGCATGTAGCGGCGTGGCCTTGCATCTAGCGGGCTCCAGACTGCGGCCCGCGAGGCGCCGCGCATCCATCGTCGCCCCGCGGGGGGCCTTGAGACTCCGAACTTCAAAGCGCGCAATGCAATCCCAGCGCCACCTGCGCAAGCTCGCTGCCAATCCTATTCGGTTTCTTCGAGCGATCCAACAGGAAACGACGCCGCGCCGGCTGCGCATCATGGGCCGGACAGCCCGCGGCCTTGGATGATCCCTGAACGGGCCAGAGGAGGCGCGGGAATTGGCCGCCCTGAGCCGCGGCGCCTTCGACCGCGGAGCGCAGCCATCCGAGGGGGGGCGCGAGGGGCCCGGTGGGAGGGGCCAAACTCCCAGAGGAACTGCGTGAGAGGCCATTAGCGGTGAGCATAAAAAGATGAGCACCGCAACTTGACTGCGCCCATCCAGCTTCGATGCCTAGTGTCCGAAATCCAGCGTTCGACGCGTCCTCGCTGCGATCGAGGCGCCGCCCTCTACTCCTTCGAGCGATCAGCCCGCGGTAGACGTCGAAATCCCGACGTTGGGATCGCGCGCCTCCGGGGCCCGGCTGCCGTCAGCTGAGCGGGCGCGGCCCCCAGACGCCTCGTCTTCGCGCCCCGGCCCCTTCGGCGAGAACGCTTGCTGCGCCGCGCTGGCCAATCCGAACGACGTCTGGCAACGCAGGGGCCAGTCGAACATGGGGCGGGGGGCGTCGAGGCAGAAGTCAGCACGTGCCCAAACAGCACAGGGGCGCCCATCCGCCCATGGGGGGCAGAGCGACAAACCTGAGCAAGCACGCGCCGAAAGGAAGCGCAGCAAGGAGGAGGGGGCCCGGGAAGTACCGGGGCGGGGCGGCGCCGGTCCAGGTAGCTTTTCGCTTCAGGAAGGTCAGCGGTTTTCCCGGAAAAACACTGGGCACCAATAGCCCAAAAACGCACTGGGCCGATCGAATGGATTCCCGGCCAGCCCCGGGCCAACCCGAACAGCTTGCAACGCCAACCTCTCCGTGAACAGTGCCCAGATAGCTGCTTTGCGCTTCAAGCGTTGCCGCCTTCTGAACGACGCGGGGGGGCGGGGCGAAGAGAGACGGGCGCGAGCATGAGACGCAGCGCGGGTTTCCTGCTCCAAAAACTGCACCTGGATCCCGCCAGACCAAGAGCGAAAGGACTCAGGCTGCCGAAGATCGACTCGCGGCCCACCAGTCCCGAGCAAGCCCGCAGCTGTCGGCGAAGCGTCAAACAGCCCTCGAGCAATGCAGGAATCTCGGCGCCATGTAGGTCGCGCGCAACTTCTCGCGACAAGCTGCGCTGTCTCGTCGCCAGCTGGATTATGAATTAGCAAAGACCTCGCGCTCCTCGGGGGCCCTCTTTCGACGTACCCTTGAAATGCCCCTGGTAGACGTCGGGCGCGGAACAACCGCGCAGCGTCGCGCCCGACTTTCGCCGCCCCCTCGATCCGCGCCTCGAACAGCGCGTCTTCGAGCGCGCGTCGTGGAGCAGGCTGCTCCTTCCTCGGCTCGGCGCGACGTTGCCGAGGAGTGGTTGGGACGGCAGCTCCATCGGGACTGCGTGCACGGGGCAGCGCCTCAAGCTCGCCGACAGCAGCGGACTCTGCTTGCAGCTGGCAGAGCATCCACCCAGGAATCGAGCAGCGAAACCTGCCCGAGCAGCTCGCGGAGCTGGTGTCCTTGGCGCAGGGGCCAGGGCCTCGGGGGCGATCTCCAGCCGCGCCCCGTGCGAGCGGTGCCATCGAGCAGCCGACGCACTATGGTTCCGAAAATTTGATGCTGAAGAGGGGGGCGAACGACGCAGCGCCAAAGTCTCATCCGGACCAAACTTGAAATCGCCCTGAGCTATCGCCAAGTACCGGCGACGATCGGGCGCCACCGCATCACGAGCACTGTCCATCTGCTTACAGACCAACTCCACACGCGCGACCGCGCGACCATACCTGTGGATGTTGAAATGCACCAGCTGAAACCCATCCCACCGGACATCGACTCGCAAGGCCCTCTCCGGCATGACGCGTGCAAGACAACTGGGCACATCTGCGCGATGCGCAACTCGAGGGATAATGGCGGCAACATTTCCAGCAGTAGATCCCGCGATATCTGCCAGACAAGACGAGGCGTGCACGACGGCGCGTTGATGGAGACGCAACTCGTAGTCCTTTAGTTGACGTTGATATTGGCGGACTTCCTGCGACGCAAAAGCAATCAGTTCCACGCGAAATCGCGTCACGCATGACATCTCCAGGTCGGCCTTGGAGCCCTTGGACGGCGGGGGC